AGCACCAGTTGCACAGCTCTCGATGTACACAGGATGATGTCTTTTGGCACACTGACTTATGAAGGTCAGTACTCCCTGTGACTGTGCATGCAGTCTTCTTCTGCCATCTGTTGGCGTGTTACAAAACTAGTATTGAAAGTTTTTGATACCACCTCGTACTTTCTGCCCAAAGGTGTCCTTGTTTCTAATCTCAGGAAGTTGGAAAGTTTGGTACTGGGTCCTCTGACTATAAATAAAAACTGATGTTCCTATCACATTAAATTTTGGATTATACTCTTTTTTTCATGGTAGTTCTTAGTAATAAAAATTGTCAACTAATAATCACATGAAAGACATAAAGATTTATTGGGTCCTCTGCCATCAGGTTCTAGTTTGTAGATATTGATGCAACGGACTGTGGACAAAATATTGTAAGCGGGGTGCAGTGAAATGAAATTTTATGCAATATACTTTGGTGTGAGGGTTACAAAACTATCATATCACAGTCATTGTCTATTCATCATCCTTTACTGTCTTACAGTGCTGCTTTGATCAATTAAAAAAAACTGTTACCAAAGCCTCTTGAAAGTCATTAATTTACTGTATACATTAAAGTGGAACTTCAGTCTCTCAGTCAACATTGACTATTTTAAATCCCTATGCTGTAAGAATTAGTAAACAGATAGGAAAATACACTATATTGCCAAAAGTATTGGGACACCCCTCCAAATCACTGGATTCAGGTATTCAAATCACCTCCATGGCCACAGGTGTATAAAATCAAGCACCTAGGCATGCAGACTGCTTCTACAAACATTTGTGAAAGAATGGGTCGCTCTCAGGAGCTCAGCGAATTCAAGTATGGTGCTGTGATAAGTCCATCTGTAAAGTGGTAGGTCACGTAAAATGACAGACCGGGGTCAGCGGACAGTGCGCAGAAGTCGCCAACTGTCTGCAGAGTCGATAGCTAAAGACCTCCAAACTTCCAAACAGTTGGTAGAGAGCTTCATAGAATGGGTTTCCATGGCTGAGCAGCTGCATCCAAGACTTACATCACCAAGTGCAATGCAAAGCATTGGATGCAGTGGTGTAAAACATGCCACCACTGGACTCTAGCGCAGTGGAGATGTGTTATCTGGAGTGACAAATCACACTTCTTTTTCCGGAAATGCTATGGACATGTCTGGGTTTGGCAGCTGCCAGGAGAACAGTACTTGCCTGACTGCATTGTGCCAAGTGTAAAGTTTGGTGGAGGGGGGATTATAGTGTGGGGTTGTTTTTCAGGGGTTGGGCTTGGCCTCTTAGATTCAGTGAAGGGAACTCTTACGGTGTCAGCATACCAACACATTTTGGACAATTCCATGCTTCCAACTTTGTGGAAACAGTTTGGGGATGACTCCTTCCTGTTCCAACATGACTGCACACCAGTGCACAAAGCAAGGTCCATAAAGACATGGATGAGCGAGTTTCGGGTGGAGGAACTTGACTGGCCTGCACAGAGTCTTGACTTCAACCCAATAGAACACCTTTGGGATGAATTAGAGTGGAGACTGCAAGCCAGGCCTTCTCCTCTGACATCAGTGCCTGACCTCACAAATGCGCTTCTGGAAGAATGGTCAAACATTCCCATAGACCCACTCCTAAACGAATGGTCAAACATTCCCATAGACACACTCCTGCAGCTGTTATATCTGCAAAAGGGTGGGCCAACTCAGTATTGAACCCTACTGACTAAGACTGGGATTCCATTAAAGTTCATGTGCATGTAAAGGCAATTGTCCCAATACTTTTGGCAATATAATGTATATCATATTTGCTGTGTTAAACTTTTTTTTTAAAGCATTTTTTTCAGTTACTTCCTGGTTTCCAGGCCTAGGCAACTAAAGTCATACTGTACATCCCAGGAGTCTCAAGGAGGGGAGGAGGGGTTTCCTCAGCTAAGCACACCCTCCTGTCTGCATGCCTAAGCTAAGGGCAGAGCGATTCCAGGAAGTAAATGCTACATGAATCATCTGCCCTTACTCAAGATGGCTATAACCAGAAATGCTAGGGGGTGCTTTTTAAAGTGATTTTCCAGCAAAATAAAGCATGGAGACATGGATGGACGAGGGAGTTTGCTTTCAATATCAAAAATGAATTAAACAGCGTTTTTGGTTTGTGGTGTAGTTCCACTTTAACTTATCACAAACTGTAGTCATCTTCAAAAGCTTTAATCAAAGGTTCTTTAAGAGAAATGCATAGAGGCCCATTTATTAATGTTTTCACCCAAGATTCACACAAGGTTCAGTAAGAAAAATGTGTGAAATTTGAGTGTACTGTAGAAAAAAAGCACAGAATCACCAGACCATAAATTACACCAATGGTCTCTTCCTACGGCATTTCACCCCTCCCACTGGGTCTCTGCAATATGCAATAGATGAGACCATTTTCTACTGTTTTTAAGTGAGTGTAAGCAATTTTGTGCAAAGGTTTTGATATTTATGTGGGCCTTTCTTGCCATTCCATTTACATGTGTGAGCACACTAGATATTTCTTCCTAATAGTGTGGAGGAGAGGTGACCAGTAAGGAGGACTACAAGTCCCCGCAACCCCATGATATCTGTAGTACAACCATATATTACTTCGAACATTGCATGTTAGAGTCCACAGCTGTCGGTGAGTGTGGGAACACAGGAGAGGAGCACAGTATTCTGATTTCTGCACCAGTATTGGAAGATTACCAGTTTATCATTATAGAGGAATACAACTTGCTTACACTTTGAAATGTAGGCAAGAGGATTATGTACACTAGTTATACATGAACTTTATGAATTGTATGGGTTTTTTTTTTGATGGTTTATTATCATATGTTTAGTAGTGGGCAGCATTTTGTTATTTATATATTCAGCTTGCAGAAGGTGTGTTTGGGAATATCTCACTCTTTGCTCAAGCAAGGGTTCTCAAATCACCAGACTACCACCTTTTTGGACTGGAGTAGTTTGGTCCACTACAGCATGCCTGGCAAAAAAACGCTGTATTTTCTGTACGCATCTCAAAGTTTAATATACAGCTTTGCTTGAAGTATAACTTTTAAATCAATTTAACTAATCTACAATTTTTTTTTTATATTATGTGAAAACACAGCAGTAATCTGAAAAAATCAGTGCAGGGAATGAAAACATTCAATTTTACACTTTGCATGATATTTACCAGATCGTCGATCTTCACACCCTTCAGTTACATATCCAGAAGGCGATTGCTTTCTAAGCTGAAATGTATAGGGTTGCCAGGCATTTTTTAGCTCAGTCAAAACAAAATATAAATCTTATAAATGAACTGCAGATCTCTATGGAACTTCTATGCTGGGTGTGTAAGGATATTGCTTTATTTTAATTCAATAATTGTAGATGAGATAATTGGGGGTATGAAACAATGTTGTAATGTAACACTTACAATCCTTTGGCTAAAGCACATCAATTATATTTTCTTGCAAAAATCTTTCATGAAGTATTTCACATTAAGTGAAGATCATTTTAAATTAATTAGTTGACTTCAGCTCCAGTTGATGTTCCAAGTGAGTTTGCAAACACTGGACTAAACCTAATGAATTTAAAGAGCTTCAAAGTTTAATATAGTTTTTTTTTAGAAGAAACCCGCTTTGAGAGAAATGCGTAGGCTGCCATTGCTGACCTCCTCAAAATATTAGTTACCTGATTGTCATGCAGTTCCTCTGGCTTAACCTCTTGCCGCCCAGCCACTGCATTAAAACGGTGGCAGGGCGGCACGGCTGCGCAAAAGCACATTTTAAAATGTGCTCCGCACTCCCGAAGTTTTCGCGGGCAGGGGGCGCGTGCTCCTGCCGACCCACGGGTATCACGATTTGATCCCAGTGATGTCCGACTGAAATCAGATGATCGGTCCCTGTCCTATCCTGTCCTGTGTTGACATTTACACAGGACAGGATATGATGTCATTCTTCTCTGCCTGGGCACATTCGTCCCAGAGAGAGAAGAAGACAGAAAAACTGTGAGCACAAAAGCACTACACAGACAGTTAGAACACTCTAGGACACATTTAACCCCCTTATCGCCCCCCCCCCCCAGGTAACCCCTTCACTGCCCTGTCACCAGTGTCATTGATCAGTGAACAGATTTTTACTGATCACTGTATCAGTGTCGCTGGCGACTTCCAATAGTGTTAGCTCCCCTCCCAGATAGCGCCAGTTTGCCCGCTTGTACACCAGTAATCCCGTTTAACCCCTTGATCGCCACCCCCAATTAATCCCTTCACTGCCCTGTCACCAGTGTCATTGATCAGTGAACATATTTTTACTGATCACTGTATTAGTGTGGCTGGCGACTTCCAATAGTGTTAGCGCCCCTCCCAGATAGCGCCAGTTTGCCCACTAGTACACCAGAAATCCCGTTTAAAACCCCTTGATTGCCCCCCCTAACTTTGAGTTTACGATATATTTTTTTATAGCTGAAAGTAGAAAATATTGTTTTTTTTTTTCAAAATTTTTGTGTTTTTTTGTTTATAGCACAAAAAATAAAAAGCGCACAGGTGATAAAATACCACCAAAAGAAATCTCTATTTGTGTGAAAAAAAGGACGTAAATTTCGTTTGGGTACAGCATTGCATGACCGCGCAATTATCATTTGAATTAGTGCAGTGCTGTATAGCAAAAAAAAGGCATACATTACAGTATCTGTACCATAGTTTGTAGACACTATAACATGCACACAAAGCACTCAATATACACTTATTGGGATTTTTTTTACCAAAAACATGTAGCAGAATACATTTTGGCTTAAATTTATGACTAACTTTGAGTTTACGATATATTTTTTTATAGCTGAAAGTAGAAAATATTTTTTTTTTTTCAAAATTTTCGTGATTTTTTTGTTTATAGCGCAAAAAATCAAAAGCGCACAGGTGATAAAATACCACCAAAAGAAAGCTCTATTTGTAAATTTTGTTTGGGTACAGCATTGCATGACCGCGCAATTATCATTTGAAATAGTGCAGCGCCAAACAGCAAAAAAAGGCCTGGTCATTAACCTCTTGCCGTCCGCCTGCTGTTTATAAACGGCAGGGCGGTGGCAGTCCAGGGGCGGGTTGCCGTTCATAAACGGCACCCGCCTTTTCTAGCTGTGCGCGCTCCCTGGGAGCGCGCACCACCGCAATCCGGTGCCCGCTGTGTCCTCCGGACACAGTGAAACACCGATCGTCGGACGGGACCTCTGTACGAGGTCCCGATCATGTGATCACTGATTGGCCAATCAGTGATCACATGCAAAGTAGTAAGCAAGATGTCACTTGTGACATCATTGCTTACTATGTGTGAAATCTGTGAATGATCACAGAGGTCACATGGTACAAGGCTATTCACAACAGCCTTGTACCATGTGACAAGCTGTGACCACTCACAGCTCACCCAGTAATTCTCAATGACTGCAAGAATGCAGACAGAGAGAAAGAGAAATGACTGCTTTTACATCCTATATGGGTGTAAAAGCAATCAGTGTAAAAAAAAAAAAAATCTTCATCACCCCCCACAAGTAGTACAGTGTCACCATGGTGACATTGTACTGCTAGGGTGACAGTATGTAAAAAAAAAAAAAAAAAAAAAATAATAATATATAAAAAATAAAATAAAAATGTAAAAAAAAATGTTTAAAAATTATAATGTTTGGTTATAAACTAATTTGGATTTTTTTTTTTTACTAAAAAAATAACGGAATACATTTTGGCCAAGATTTATGATGAAATATTATTTATTTGCAAAATTTTATTAAAAAAACACTTTTTTTCAAAATTTTGGACTTTTCATTTACATAGTAAAAAAAAATAAAAATCCCAGCAGTGAATAAATACCACCAAAATAAAGCTTTATCTGTCTCAAAAAAATGGTAAAAATATGGGTACAGTATTGCATGACCGCGCAATTGTCATTCAAAGTGTGATAGCGCTGAAAGCTAAAAATTGCCCTGGACAGGAAGGGGGTAAAAGTGTCCGGACAGGAAGTGGTTAGGGGGGTAAATCCTCAGGAGCTCAAGTGGTTAAAGGAAAACTTAACTTTTGTTAGAAAAAAAATATACACATAAGGGGGTTGTGTAAAGAGAAAGAAAAGGGGATTAAATTAAATTAGATAGATAGATAGATAGATAGATAGATAGTGTAAGGAATTCCCCCTTTCCTGGAATCCTTATATTCTTATTTCTATATTTTCCATATAACCTCGACAATAATGCTGACATTTCTTTACTTTTACTTAAGACATAATAATTTCATCTACTTAAAGCATCACTCTAACTCTTATCACAATGCAAGCATAATGAATACAGAAATGGTATACCTGAATCAATAGCCCTAGCGCATATTCCCACAGATAGATAGATAGATAGATGATACATAGATAGATAGATAGATAGATAGATAGCAGACAATAACAACTAGGGTAGTGCACTAGCAGATACATGAAAATGAAAGGATGGAGTGTGTGGGTTGTCACAGATTTAAAAAGAGCAAAATAAGCAGATTACACGTGGAGATTTAAATAAGTACCGAATATAAATTGGATGTGTGTAAAATATGTGGAAAATCTCTCAGACACTGGAAGAGTCATAAATGAAGGGTGTATTTAAATAATTGGGAATTATTTAATAATTATTTGTTATATATAATTTAAGATTAATATGGTTTAAGGGATAATGGAGACCTAGATAGCGCATAGATACATACGTATTCTTTGTATGTTACAAAATATGTAAACATTAAGAAAACTGGAGACAAATGTGAATGGTGTGTATATAATGTGTAAAAGAAAAACTAAAGTTTTTTAAATATTATCTGATTAAAAATAAAAAAAAGAAAAACCCACAAGCGCCCAATCCCTCTATACAGATTTTGACATTAAACTGTGAGTATGAACAGCTTCTGGCCATAAGGAACAATCTATCTATCCATTCAGTCGTATCATCCAACCCCTGGCGATTTCATGGACCGTCACTCGTAAGTGACTTTTTCCAGGAATTCTCTTAGCAATTATTTTACAGGGTAGGTTGCCAGGTCTTTCCCCAACCCCTACCATGCAGGAGATCCCGCATGGCCAGGGATGAAACTAGGACAATTTAGACAGGAGCCATAAGGAACAATAAGTTCTCTGAATTTCTCTAACATTGGAAGCCCTGGTTAACTTGGACTGATAGTTCTACTTAACTCACTGTACTGTATTTACCGATGTACCTGATTATACTGTTTGATTACTGTACTGCCATTTCCTTTGTTTCTGTAACAAAACTTCTTCACATGACATATGGACCATGTTAATGTTTATCCCTACTTCTTAAGGTCTAATATTAGGCTTTTCCACTGTAATGCCTTAAAATCTTAATAAAAATCTATTTGAAAAAATTTTTAAAAAAGAGCTTCATATTTTAATGCATTTTTTTAGAAGAAACCTGTTTGGAAAGAAATGCGTCAGTTGCCATTGCTGACCTCAAAATATTAATTGCCTGATTGTCAGGTAGTTCCTCTGGCCTAAAGGAAAACTCAACTTTTGTTAAAAAAAAAAGAAAAGAAAAAAAGTCGTTAAAATTGCTACACAAGCCATTTTGTAATTTAATGTTGTTAAAAAATAATTTTCAATGTGATATGGCTACCTACTGGTGTACCTTTTGGTACAATACTGGTGTATGGAATGCCACAAGAAATGTATTTTCCTGCTTGTGTGATCAGCTCACTGATTTTCTTAGAAGTCTGTACAAAGATATAAGTACAATTTTAGGCATCCTCTGCAAAAGGTATATCATTTTTGTGAGATACTCCTTAAGGACCTTTCCTCTAGAGACACTGCAGCTTACCTCATTAAAACAGATTTGCTCAGGTGATTATAATAAGTACTTACCTTCCCATTCAGGAATCAGGACAGGACATAGCAAAACAAACACTATTTCTTTAGAACAAAAGAAAATAGAAATCTGCAACAAAATTGTTTAAAATCTTGCAATGTCTACAGACAAACACAGGGGATTTTTTTCTCCTAACAAAAGTGAGGTAACACATTAAAAAAACAACTTAAGCTGTCCTTTATATTGGTTGGACTGCACTCAGTGGGGTGAGGGGAATTAATTACTTACCTTTAGCTATATTCCAGCAATGCAATGGCCCTATTCATTCCTAGGGGATGACCGTACTCCGTAGGACTGTTGGAAGCCATCATGAGTGTGGATGTCTTTTAGGAATGAATGGGGCATTGACGTCCATGCACAGTGTGAAGAAGAGTCAGCTGTAGGTTCTCTTTCCGAAGGCACTATGCAGGGCAATGCTGGATCAGAGCTAAAGGTAAGTATATTAAAGGGTGGGCTGCACTCAGGTTAGTGAGGTTAATAAATTAATGGGCAGCATTACCAAAGGTGAGGATTTCCTGGGGGGGAAGCTGGGAAGGATTAATACCCCTGTCAAATTTATTTTGCTATCTATGTCCCTGCTAAGTAGATTCCCTCTTGTATTTGTCCTGGTGATGATTGTTACAGAGACAGAAAGTGATGGGAAATGAAAAATGTTTACAGTTGTCACCAGTAGCAAGAGGTGAGGCTACATCTTCCAATGGGGACATCTGTTCTGGTGATAAATGTAATTTTAAGTAGATTTTGCTCCATTTTCTTAAGCTTCAAAGTCAGGAAGGGAGGAGAAATATCCCCAAGGGGACAGAGAAACAGATAAACTGACAAGTGTTTTAATCCTATACGACTTTATCAAAACTAAAAAAAAATTTGTTTTCATCAGACCTGATGGGGGTCTAATGGGGGTCTAGTTTCTATGGTAGCATTGCTAGTTTGCTAGGCAGTGAAGAGTAGTTCCTCATCTGGTCTGTCTTGCTTTTGATTGACAATGAATGGCAGTGGGTGGATTAAAAAGTTGCTATTGGACTGCACAGCAGCTACAAATCCACCCATTGCCATGCACTGTCAATCAAAAGCAAACAAACCTAAGGGCTTGCTTAGATCATCACTTCCAAACATGGCACTATGGTAATCAATGAGCCCATACATACAGTTGTGTCTATCTGCAAATATGTGTGCTACATGTAGCTGTGCAGAAAAATGTAGGACACCTCAGCCTCCAGGGCTGCACAGATCTGCAGATTTTACAGATGAACATGCATAAATGCACCTAAAAGCTTACGCGTGTAAAGGTTCAGCCATTCATTTGAATGCAATAAGAATTCTACACCGCGTTCCAAATTATTATGCAAATTCTATTTAAGTGTCACAAAGATGAAATATTTTGTTTTTTTTTTTTTTTTTCCGTTTAAACTCATGGATGACATTGTTTGTCAGGGCTCTTATGATCACTGAAAACAATCTCGGACACCTGTGGTAATTAGATTGGCTGGTGAGCCCAATTTAACCACTTGAGCACCTGAGGATTTACCCCCCTTAATGACCAGGCCTTTCTTTGCTGTTTGGCGCTGCACTAATTCAAATGATAATTGCGCGGTCATGCAATGCTGTACCCAAATGAAATTTACGTCCTTTTTTTCACACAAATAGAGCTTTCTTTTGGTGGTATTTTATCACCTGTGCGCTTTTTATTTTTTGCGCTATAAACAAAAAAAACCATAAAACTTTTGAAAAACAAAACAATATTTTCTACTTTCGGCTATAAAAAATATATCGTAAACTCAAAGTTAGTCATAAATTTAAGCCAAAATGTATTCTGCTACATGTTTTTGGTAAAAAAAAAATCCCAATAAGTGTATATTGAGTGCTTTGTGTGAAAGTTATAGCGTCTACAAACTATGGTATAGATACTGTAATTTATGCCTTTTTTTGCTATACAGCGCTGCACTAATTCAAATGATAATTGCACGGTCATGCAATGCTGCACCCAAACGAAATTTACGTCCTTTTTTTCACACAAATAGAGCTTTCTTTTGGTGGTATTTGATCACCTGTGCGCTTTTTATTTTTTGCGCTATCAACAAAAAAACCACCAAAAATTTTGAAAAAAAACAATATTTTCTACTTTCAGCTATAAAAAATATATCGTAAACTCAAAGTTAGTCATAAATTTAAGCCAAAATGTATTCTGCTACATGTTTTTGGTAAAAAAAAATCCTGTGCATTAGCGGGCAAACTGGCCCTATCTGGGAGGGGCACTAACACTATCGGAAGTTGCCAGTGACACTGATACAGTGATCAGTAAAAATCTGTTCACTGATCAGTGACACTGGTGACAGGGCAGTGAAGGGGTCAACTCAGGGGGGGGGGGGGCGATCAAGGGGTTAGACGGGATTATTGGTGTATTAGCGGGCAATCTGGCGCTATCTGGGAGGGGCGCTAGCACTATCGGAAGTCGCCAGCGACACTGATACAGTGATCAGTAAAAATCGCTTCACTGA